ATAGATAGATAGATAGATAGATAGATAGAAATATTTTGAATACAGGTAAATTTAGTCCTATACTCATTCATACATACCCAGACAGTTTTATAAATTTATGCAAATCGAACAGGATATCGACCAGAAGCAATGCAGTTTTGAAACCTCACCAGATACAAAAACGAGCCCCGCCGAGGAGGAATACACACGAAGCAGGCGAGTGGTCCGTGAGTACCACGGAGATATCATCAAGGACACCTTTTGGGACGACCATCCCAACATAGCAGCTGGAGTGCACAAGTAGGTACGTGGCCTTGTAAGTACTATGGGGATAGACAGCGTTAGTGTTGTGACGTTACAGACGATGTCGACCACGTAGTGTCACACAGCGACATGGTCCATCATTGATCCGTGAGTGAGTGAGTGAGTGCGTGTTGCGGAGCCTTTATCGGGGACAAACGGCGAGTAGACTAGGTCGCTTTTCGCTGCAAGATCGCACGAGTGGTATGGGAGTTCTATCGGATTACTATGGAGAGTCGTCCCTGAGGCCATACCCTGGACAGTACCGCCAGGAGTGTGGGAGGCAGACATCGTTTATTGTTTTGTATTAGAAGTACGTCCCCCAGATACCTCCCAGATTCAGCATCCCAACCTAACGGCACAAGATAAATCCGCATTACGGGTTGTACTGGGGTATGCATAAAGCTCCTAACACTCTGTACTAGAGTATGCATAGGCTGCTGCTAGCTCTGCGATGAACGTTCTTAGGAATGGTTTAATTTAAAGGGGCCAGGTTGGCTACTACTAGACACGGTAGCCTGCTCTGCAATGGCCGGCTAGAGCTGACCTACCTACCCACGCGCGCAATAGGATGCGGCACCACAATGGTGTGGCGCAGGCACAACAAGCGCACGCAGTACGGGTTTGAAATCTCCAATAAACATATGACACTGCTAGGCTATGCACGAGTCCCAAGTACTCTACATGGCTGAAGGGGATGAGTTATGGTTGACATAATGCCGTTCAGGGAGGGTCACCCCCGAATAAGGTTACTTCTCGTGGGACGGACTGTTTCTAGTAGTCGGAGTTGTAGGCTTGTTTTAATCCAATCGGCGAGAATCACCGACACTCTGACCAACGTAAAGTATTGCTCATATACTGCTTCGCCCATGGCTGTGATACTATACCACTAACCACAGCCATATTGTACCGAGTAACCCCCGACAAGCCTTTCATGACGCCTCAGTTTCACCTGAGTTCGATTCTTGGGACCGACCACGTGCGCACGCCTGTAAGGCAAGTCCTAAAATGAATGTTATTGATGTCCCTGCGGTAGGGGAGTGCACGTCGTTTGGATGCGGTACTTTAAAAGGACTATCCGAGCCCACTCCTTGTATTTTAAGTCGTACCTACACTACGCGAAACCTATATTAACTTAGTTAGTCCTGGTTAATATTGAAACCAGCCCAGTAAGTCCCCTCCTGTCCGACTTCTCTACCCTTAACACTTAGGCTCTCCTTAACACTTAGGATCCCCTTGACACTAAGACTACCCATAACACTCAGGCTCCCCTTAACACTTAGGTGAACTATCGTCTATCCACGACCATTGGTGTGCGAGTGTCTACCAACTCGTCATATTCACAGTCAGACTCGTCGGTGTGTGCCGCACAGTCCTTCATCCACGACTTAAGCTTTGCAATGTGCGCAGAGTTTCCGCCAGCAACACGGCTCTCCGTGGCTTGCGCCGGTGTGGTCTCATTATGACCACACGTCCGTGTGGGTTCATCAAGACCTCCTCTGTTGCCTCTCTCGCCAGGCAAACCCAAACCCAATATCTCAAACAGGCGCGAGGGCTCGTATAGACCTCCATCGTTGTCACCACCACCAGCTCCATCCCTTACCTCAGGCGTGCGTGCTTCTTCAGGCGCTATGTAGTCACCATTGGACTGGAGATGGTCCAGAAAACTGGGCAGTCTGTTCTCTGGCGTGCCCAAGTGCGAGTCCAGCGTGCGCTTGATAGCGCTGAAGCGCATGTTTATAGCACGCACTAGTTGGTTGTTTCGTCTCCATTGTAGGGCTTCCCTCTGTCGATGGCGGCTAAGCACAGCGCTGAGTGTGCGGTCTTTTTCTGTGAGTCGCTCTTGTGTTTGTCTCAGCTGCTCCTGCAGTTGCTGTATGTCTTGTGTTACAGTCTCGTGTCTGCCTTCACCGATAAAGTCAACGGATCTGTTTGAGAGGACAATAGTACGCCTGCGATTCCCAACTGTACGGCCGCTATACGCCAACCGCTCACCGTCACCAGAGTCAACGATCACATGACCGTCAGAGCTGTTGGTGCTACTGTTGGTGTTGGTCTCCACGGCTTCTACCGAATGCGTGTCGGTGGTGACAAGTGAATGTGTGAAAGACTCGCGCAGACTCTGTACATCGCGTTGTTCTTGAACACGTCGCTCTAAACGGTATTCTAGCCTGTCGCGATCTCGTCGTAAACGCTTTTTTTCTTGAACAAGTGCGTCTAACCCTCTTTTTTCTTGATAACGTTGGTGGAAATTGCGTTCTAGATCGCGTTGCTCTCCAACATGGCGCTGTACATCATGCTGTTGCACTACAACCGTTCTTGGCCTCGAACGCGCACTCCCACGCCCAGCAGCTGCATTATTAACCATTAGCGTACCCTCGGATCGAGTAAGGCCTGTCGCTGCCGCTACCAATCCCCTCCCCGGTGACCGGAGATCATCACCCGCCTGGGCGGGTGCGCCTGTGTGTGCGTGCGTGCGTGCTTGTGTCTGAGCTACTGTCGAGTGCAGATATCTCCTCTGCGATGCGTCCAAATAACCGATACACGCGTGCGGCCCCGTTGTCGCGCCTGTGTCCTATATGTGCATGCTCGCGTTCCAACCGATACCCTGTCTGGGTTATGTGTGCCTGTTCCAAGACAATGGTGTAGGTCGCCGGATCGCCGAATTCGCTCGGGCTAGTGTGGTCAAACAGTGCGCGTATGACTGTGGTGTGACCCCTTCTCATAGCGGTTAGGAGCATCGCGCTGCATCACTGTATGTAGTTGTCGTAATAACCATAGCGATGTGGCTTGAGTGTGTAGCTGAGCTCAGGCGTGCGTGTCTTGGAAAGGTTGTGATGGGAAGAAAACGAAGATTGCGTTAGAATCCATTCACATTCATCGTCGTATCAACCGTGGCGATGTAATGCGAGTTGTCGCTGAGTTCAGGCGTGCGTGCTTAGAACGGTTTTAAAACATTTAAGGGTTTAGGTTTTTTGGGTTTTACCCAAACCCTTTAGAACATTTAAGGCTTCGTTACAATGCACATACGTACATCGTCGTCTAGGATTGTGTGACCAACAGTCGAGTGCACAGACCACGCGAATGCAACCATTGGCCTACATGTAGTCAAGCAGTCGGTGCAAACTCCACCAAACCCCAACCCCATCAGTAGGACTGAGCCTTCGTGGGCAACAAGCTACGTGCGCGTGCTGGTAGGAAACGCTGACGAACAACACAAGCGTTACAGCACGCCTGGTACGCGTGTACATGGGCGGGCGTGGAGAGATGCGAGGAATCTGGCTCAATAAGTGCAACCTTAGACCCATTTACACCCTTCTCTACCCATGCGTGTATATGTATTCCGATCGATCGAGCACACAGATTCTAGCTTCATTGGTGGCGACAAATAACACACTTGTGAACATTCGCTGTCTGCGATGACAGCAGCGCCGCGTAGGCTAACTTGCTACTACGTGGATATCACAGAGCGGCGTAGGAGTACAAGATCATTTCTATAGCATATACACATGCATATAGGAGTACAAGATCATCTCTATTGCATATATGTATGCCTATAAGAGTACAAGATCATCTCTATTGCATATACACATGCATATAAGAGTACAAGATAATCTCTATTGCATATATACATGCATGCAAAAATACAAGATTTTCTCTTACCTCCTTGGTGATGTTCCGAATACCCTTTAGCAGCGCCGGAATGACAGCCGCGCGCCCATCCGCACACGCCGAATTCAGCGCTTCGTCAGTGGCGTCGGTTGTGCGAATATTGAACTGCAACAAAAAGCGCACGACATCCTCATCGTCATTGCGCGTGCCTATGGCCAACGCCTACGCGTGTACAACATTCGAATGTAGCGATGTGAAACTGAATTAAGATGTTCTGCACAAAAGCTTCCAAGTAGGATCGGAATAGGGTCCGAGTATGGTCTTAAGTAGAGTACAAGTATGATCTATATAGTCTGTGTAAGGCTGAGTAGAGTCTAAGTAGAGTATAAGTATGATCTAAATAGGGTTTAAGTAAGGCTACAAGTAGTAGAATTCAAGTAGAATCTTATTTGGGTCTAAGTAGGGTCTCGTCTAGCTATTTTCATATCGCATCTCCCAGACAAATCCAATTTTACCCGAGGGAGGGCCGGCTTTTCGTGGTATCGTGTGAAATAGGTGTAGATAAAAAGGTATGACGAGAGGAGTTGCGAGCTATGGGCATCTATGACTTCCTTGCGTTGTTGTTTTGAAGTTGTGTGCACTGTTGTTTTGAAGTTGTGTGCACTATATCTGTAGAGAGTGAGGATCCGATCGTGCCGAACACGCAAGCCTGTATGTGTACATATACACATGCTCGCACCGAGTGAGGACTCACACACAGCTGCAGACTTACAGTAGTGTATACATCCAGTCTGATATATATGCACACAATATCCCACACGCACCAGTGTTTGCAACCAGACACACACGCACACACAGAACACATACACAGCCTGTGTACAAGGCTATGTGTCAGTACAACGATCGCACTTCTGCGAGTTTTTTGGGCATGATGGTGTTGTCCTCTGTTGTGCAACGTACAATAAACTGCACATCTCAGCCCACCCTTCGTGAGAGACCACTCACAATCCCGCATAACAGATACTATGTCATGCACCTGTGCAAAGAGCCGAGCCTGCACACACCTTAACATGCACACACTCAGTATCTAGACCGCAGTATCTAGACGATTCAGGGGTGTGCATAGACTCAGCCACCTACAGAATATAATACGCCATATCCAAACGATTCAGGGGTGTACATACACACACTCGCTCAATATATACGCACCTCTTTGAGTGCCGCGGTTGCGATGAAGCTGTGTGATGGTTTCAAGCTCACAATGTACTTGAGCGTCTCCAGCGATCCCTTGGCGGAGGCCATAAACGCGCGCGAGAACAGCGACCGAGGATCTGTAGGGCTTGTTGGCTTCAGACTTCTCAACGGCTCAACCACACGCAGGTCAGCGCACAGAAGTTGCACTGTGTCCACCCTTAAAGGTGGTAGGTGAACAGTTGGATAATGGTAAGTACCCTGCGATGCCTCTACGCTTACAGGTAGTAATTGCACAGATGCATGAGGATAAGCAAGCTGCAATACTTCTACCCTTACATGTAGGGTTTAATGCGATGGAGAAAGACAAGTACATGGAATGGTAGAGGACTCAGGCATGTCGAATGGCGTGTGATGGGCATGAGAGATGGACAGGTCAGAGTCATACATCACAGACAACCCACCGAATGAACGGTGGAGGATCTAGAGCTATATATATATAGCACACAAACGAATCAGAAAATGCCCTCGAATACTCATCAATGTGTATATGGCACACATGAATCTATAATTTATATATAGCACACACCAATCTATATATAGCACACACCAATCTATATATAGCACACACCAATCTATATATAGCCCACACGAATATATACATAGCACACACCAATCTATATATAGCACACACCAATCTATATATAGCCCACACGAATATATACATAGCACACACTAAACTATACAGCACATACTCGCCCTCCTTGCAAGCCGCAATCAGTGCCGCGTGGTCATCCCATGTCGGATTCGCGTGCCCATTGGACAGCAGCAGCGCCACGGTTTCACAGTGACCCAACCGACACGCTTCTCTCAGCGCAACGGTAGGCGCCAACCGCTGACTGTGCAGAAGTAACTCGACTATGTGCAGGTGACGGGTACTGATAGCCGCATCCACACAGTTGCTGAGCTCGCTTTCACGGGCTGTGCTTATGAGTTCACGGACCACCGCGGTACAGCCTGCATGCATTGGGATGGGTGTAGTAGTACGGTTTATGGCCAGTGGAATAAGTATAGATATACCGTTTATAGCCAGTGAAATAAGTATAGATATATCGTCTATATCCAGTGAAATAAGTATAGACATACCGTTTATAGCTAGTGAAATAAGTATAGATATACTGTTTATTGCCAGTGAAATAAGTATATATATACCGTTTATAACTAGTGTGTCGGAGGAAGAGGAGCTTGTGGCCCTTCCACCCACCAGCAACAGCTGACTACCACTCAGTCAGCAACAGAGGCCGCTAACAGTGTCCAATGCGTCATGCAATAGATATCCATCGAACACTATACCTGTGCGCGTGACTTGGGGTGATTGTAGGGGTGTGCTACACATTCTGATACAAATACGCACATCCCACACTGTAACATTGTAACATATGCGTGCGCGTTGCAGCGTAGGCATGTATACCTTTTTTCGCACCCTTGCGGATCAGTTCCATGTCATGCTTATACTTGTCCGCGATTGCAATACCCGACAACGGTCCCGCACCCATTCTGAGGCATAGGTCAGTGAACCGAACAAACGCGTTTGTGTACGCCATAACAAGGACGTCATGTAGGTCCCTGGGCGTCAGCGAGGCCAGGTACCACTCTGTCTGATCTAGCACGCTCGTCCACTGCAGCTTTTCCGCGGTTCGTATCAGCTGTGGGATGGTGCGACAGAGCAATACGTACAACGATGGATAAACAACGTGTGAGATGGGGGTTGGGGGGGGAGGTGGGGGGTTTAAATGCGTGTGTGGGATCTGGATGAGGGGGGTTGATGTTAAGTACTCATAAGCGAAGGAAAGGGAGACTGGTAAAGCGATGAGGAAGGCGTGGAGAAGATAGAGTGAAGGACCAATGTGCAACGTATGTATATACGAGTCGTGCGTGCAAGCGATCACTGTGGAGAAGTAGTGGGCTATTATACAGAGGCAAGACAATAGGACACCTTCAACCCAATGGTCATGTGTACGTAACGCAAGTGATCACTATGAAGACAAATTACCTTCACGAGTGAATCTACATATTATCTCATGATTTGCTATTCCATTAGTTACATTCACGAGTGTACCTACATATTATCCCATGATTTGCTATTCAATTCCAGTCTCTCCCTCCCTTATTAACCGTATGCACAAATAAACAATGGCAGACTAAATCTATATCACGACCTTCATTAACAATGTCAAACTAAACCTATATCATGACCTTCCCACATCCTATTTAACCCACCTCCATTTCGTTCGCGAACAAAGACGACACTCGGTGACTCTTCACCAGAACCAGCACAGTCTGTTCCTCCTGGGTTCGCACGGCCAAGGACACCATTTTGGCGATATCCGACTGTACACACGCATATAACTGGACGAGTATAGCGCAAATAAAGATGAGATGTAATGCTCACACACACTTATATATAAATATATATATATATATATATATGTGGATGTGTATGACGCAGATGGAGAGAAGAGGTATTGCTTATTACACACGCAGAGATGCTCGAAGCCCTAAACCCTAAACCATGAACACTAGAGCACTATGAGTCATGCACATACCTGCTTTCAGTACCCACATCCTACCGTACACCTCGCACGCAAACTCAAGGAGAACAGTGGGCAACGGATGGGCCATTCTGTCTGTGAAACCACGCTGTAGGAACAACGAGAGTGAGATGGAGTGTGAGCTTGAGACTGATGCTGGTAGGTAGGATGAGAGTGTGAGTTTGTGACTCATGCTGGTAGGTAGGATGTTTTCTTCGTCTGTCCTAGAAGAGTGTGAGTTTGTGACTGATGCTGGCAGGTAGGATGTTTCTTTTCGTCTGTCCTAGAGAGTGTAAGTTCAGAGATTGGCTGCCGATTCCGTTTAGTACATAGGCAATGGGTGTAGTGCAACTGAAGAACATCCCTCGGTAGCTAACGCTATAGCAAAACCCCCAAGCCTCCTATCTAATCGATAGATAGGTAGTCTATGCTTCGCTGAACAGAAGTCTGGCATCATGGTGAACGCGTTCAAAGCAATCAGGCACGCACCAGTCAAACAGTATTACATTTGGTCAAACGGCCTCGACTGCATTGAACGGCATACCCCAATTAGATCCACGAACAAGTCCTCGGAGTGTGAAGAACCAGCACATCACTACGAGGCTCACCAACTCAGCTCAACATCCAAACACGTACACAGCAGATACACGCAAACACATCTGAACCACACACAGGAAACACGAGGCTCACCAACTCAGTTCAACACCAAACGCGTACACAGCAGATACACGCAAACACAGCTGGACTACAAATATGAAGTCGGTAGCACAGACACTGGTCCATCACAACGGGGGACGTGGTCAAAGTAAGGTCATGAGATCGGTGTGACCAACGATCAAGCTTTGTTTCATACACTCTTCGCAATACGCACGGTCTTATCGGAGACTCACCTTAGTGGCAGTTTTTGCCAGCCGCTTCAGAACCTTCTTCGAGGGCACATACGCATTTTCGTCATACTCTTCTATCGCTGGGCTAGTCACAAACTCATGCAGCACGTGCATGATATAGGCTGCCTCAAACTGCAGATAGTGTAAACTAGGTTTTAGCCATGCTATGGCCATCGCCACCTCCCAGTCAGCACGATACCCGACAGCCGCAACCAGTCCAACGGAGAGATGGGCGGAGAGTTGGGTAGCACGTAATCACCACGTGAGAGCGTGGAGAAGCCCAGGGCTAGCTCCTCTCGGCGATAACTTTTGGAAACAGATGAGAACAAACACAAAACTGTGAGAATGTGCACATATGTAATACCTTCAACAACGATTGGTTTATTACGAGGTACATGGCGGGGGTAAGGCTCATATTGAGATGATAGCATGATGCTGAGTTTATAAAGATGAGTAAGACTTTCAAGAATTCTAAGTTAGATTTGTACGAGCTTCGAAGTTTAGACTTGTGATACATCCAAAGTTTAGACTTCTTCGGCATTCAAATTAGTATTTGTAAGACATTCAGAGTTCAATTTGTAAGGCATCCGGATAAGTCACCATTCTATTGTGCAATGAAAAATATGACTGCTCTAACCTGTGTTGTGATTCGGTGGTATGTTTAACGTTGCCGGACTCCAGCTTTCGACACGCCAGATTGCAATGATCACCGGTGTAGCAAAAGGGGCCCTAAGCTACAGCTATAGGCACGGCTTATACAACCACAGGATTCGTTTGACAAAAGTGAACATACGCAGAGAACCCCGCACTCACTACAACATATCACGCAAAACCGCACAGACCACTCCGCCTATGTAACGAACAATACAATGCGAGGCATATATGAGTTTTTTGAGGGAAGATATCGGGCTATCAGACTCATTGCTACTTATGCATGGACTCCTCTATAGCAACACAACCCGATCCTTTCCCTTGTGGTTCAAACACGTGTACTGTGTGTTTCGTTTCGCGGGGGAATCAGAAGAAGCATCATGCTCGCACGTATTGACAATGAACAATACTTGCGATTTGATTGATGGATCTTCCAAAAACGGGCGCATTCGTATCTACGCATATGAGTAGATTTGCAATCGGAAATATTGTATAAACATACTAATGGCATACACGTGCACACACATCCATAAACGTACTAATCGCAGGCATGCATACATCTACATCTCCACTAGCATATATGAGCTTGTACAAACACACATTCGTAAACACACCCATCACTGGTATGCACACATCTACATCTCCACTAGCTTACATGAGCAAGAACAAACACACATTCGTAAACACCCAATCGCAGGCATACTTACATCTACATATCCACTAGCATACATGAGCCTGTAAAACACACACATTCGTGAACAAACCAATCGCATGCGTACATACATTTGCATTTCCACTAGCATACATGAGCATGTACAAACACACATTCGTAAACACACCCATACATCTACATTTCCTAGCATACATGAGCATGTAAAACACACACATTCGTGAACAAACCAATCGCAGGCGTACATACATATACATCTCCACTAGCATACATGAGCATGTACAAATACACGCATTCATAAATATACCAATCATAGGCATACATACATCTACATCTTCACTAGCGTACAAAGGCATGCAGAAGGCATGCAGGTACACACACATTCATAAACATATCAATCTCAGGCATACGTTCTGTATCTACATCTCGACTAGCGTAGAAGAGCAGAAATCTGTACACGCATTCGCAAGCACACCAACCGCAGACACACATACATCTACATCTTGATTAGCGTACAATGGCATGCACATACACACACATTCGAATACACACCTCACTTTGTACCACTGCGTGAGCAGCCGAAGCTCTGTATTCCAGTTGTGCTTCTTCGCTATTCGTATCCAACGGGGATTAATGACAAGTGTAGCCACGTCAGAGTGCTCCAACAGCGTCCGCACACAGAACTGATCCTTGTCGTAAGCAAACGCTATGTCTAATGCCTCACTCACATCGGCAGCAGCACACATGAGTGCAGCTATTTTTAGAATCCACAAATCTCTCGTACGGACGGCATGGTTTGCCATCAGGATGGAAAATGATAGGGGGCGCGTGGTGCGTTGCCCACAGCATGCGTCATTTATGTCTTTCTTCTCGAAAACCCTGTCTATAAAGAGCCGGAATGTCTTCTCGGTGTGCTTATCCACTTTGATTACGTACAGTATATCTGTAAAGTAACTGTTGATCATGTTCGTGATCAGAACAATGTTTGCGCTCAACACACTCATACGGACCTCAGCCATGATGGCCAGGGCCACTTCTCAGTGGGCATGCTTAGCGATGTGCAGTGCACATGTGGGGGGCAAGAGATCTAAATCAGGTAGAACTTCCATGGTACCAGAGGTTTCGGGCATGTGACGTCGTGATATAATCATAGTACAAATAGAATATCTATTTCAACTGCAGGAGAATGTAGCAAAAAAAATTGCAGTTGTGTTCAATGTACACTGCTTATACTGATGCACGTCCCTTGAAATATGCACCTTATATCACATACAGGCACCTTATATCACATACAGGCACCTTATATCACATACAGGCACCTTATATACAAACATGCACCTTATATTCTATAAACCACTCTTTTTCGTCTTCCATACTGGGAACTGGACCCATTTTCAAATTACGGTTGCATACAACTGAAATTGAGCCTATAGTTCGTAGTTCGTTGTTTTTTGTTTCGTTCTAGGGTTTAGCCACATTATTTAGTTTGTGACTTTGTGGTGCTGGTAACCGAATAGTGGAGTCTGTACAGAGCACAGGCAGAGGGACGTGTGATGCAACTTTATTCCATAGCCTTCCAAAGTTCTATGGCATCTATCACATTTCAACGTAAATATGCGTACATTCGATGGCATTTGTTTTTGTCAAAAAAAAATGGTGAACCTGCAAAATATATATTTAGACTTATTTTAAAACAAATGTATATTTTTAATTGCTTGGGATAATTTAAAAGAGATTGGAGTGACTGGGGATAAAATCTCAAGAATCTGTAGGTCTGCAACATATTTTCTTTTTGTGAATCTCTGACGAATCTCAATCACAGTCAATCTGCAAGAGTCTGCACTCTGCAGTCTCTGCCAGCTGTGCAACCTACACATTTTGAATTTTGAATTATTTGTTTTTGTTTTTTTATAAACAAACACTATAAAAAATGGTCAACGGCAAAAAAAAGTGAAAGCCAATCCCGAATTAGCATTCTGTAGACCAATACAAAGAGTTTTAACTAAATATTGATATAGATAGTGTTCACTCAATCACTCTGCCACTCAACACTCATGTTCGTGAGTCATGACTCATCATTCATCAATCGATCAATCAATCAATCAATCATGTATTGCTGTTTTTAATAAAAAGAACAATTTTGAATATATTTTGAAGGCTATTTGTAGTATTTACTCTACCACTCTACATACTCGGATTACTCGTTCTACTCGAATCGATGGACAGAATTTACAGATTTGGGAATATATAGAGACTAGAGAGTATAGTGAATTACTAGAATAGATGAATGACGAATGTATATTTAGAACAAAATCAGAATGCGCAGAACAACACTCCTACTCTACAATCTACTCTGAAACTATTATTTCGTATATTTTTAGTAAAATATATGTAAAAAAAGTATTCAATGATTCAATGATTCATGTATCGCTATTATTTATTTATTTATTCACCAACAAGAAGTAGAAAAGCATACATACTTACGTAGTACACCTCATAAATGCAAGAAAAGCAAAAATAAAATCAAACGGACAATGTCTGTAGGACCATAATACTTACAGTAAGCTCCCGGCCATAACACAGTGCACGAGAAAGAGCGTCTGGAACTCGGCATATAGAGGTTAATACTAGAACACTTTCGGCATACTACGTTCAATTGCCGATTAAGTCGCGCAAAGTTCCCATTACACCCCTGCAAGCTGTGCCTCGACTAACCACAATCATACAACACTACTCGGCGTGCTAGTATAATCAAAAATAAAGGTATATCAAAAAACAACTATATGAATGGACATCGTGTGGAGGTAATTTAGCAACAGTGATCCTTTATAAAAACTAATCTAGTGACAGTCGTCTATTATACGGTGAATCAATTTCTTTATTCGATTTAGAATAAAT